AAAAAAAAAAAAAAAATTTAAAAATGATTTTATTCTGCACCAGCCAATGTTTTATTAAAGTCATAAGCTTCTCAGCTTAAGTTCTCTAAAATTTTTTTCTTCCTTCTCCTCTACTTTGTTTTTCTTTCTTCTTGGCATTTGTTTTATAGCCCTATGAAATCCTTACTTTCTTCCCCCTCTTATTCTCTCTCTTCTCACCTCCAGTCCCCACCACTTCCCTTTTCAGATCAGGAAACAACTTGAACAGGCAGAATCCCGAATCACCACCATCAGCAGTAGCTGCATTCGCTATGTCCCTAACATTTTCACTCCCTCAAATTTAGCAATTATCATTACATAAATAAATAAATTTTTTTTCTTTTCTTCATCATCCATTATTAAACAAAAAAAATTAATTAGTTGAATAAAATGAAAAGTTCACCAAATAAATGCAAGTGGTTATTCTCCTCAGATTTTTCAAAGAGCTAAAATGTTTCATGATGATTTTGCCAGATTTATCCTGGATATTTTCATTCTCAACAATACAGATAATTCTCAACCATCTGTTGCACTGTTTTTATTTGCTTTTAATACTTGGATTTTTTTTTTATCCCCGTCTTTTCCACTTTTTTTCTTCCATCTCAATTCATCTCCCTATCAAACTTACCCACAAGAATCCTCAACCCTTTTTGATGATATTTTTCTTTGATAATTTGCCTTTTTTCTACAACAGTTACATGAAAGCAAGCCTGTAAGACAAAAAAAAAAAACGTATCTATCATCTTTATAAGACCGTCCTCTGCGTCTGTACGCTTAACGTAACTACTTGCAGTAATATTTTCAGCATTAAATGTATTTAAAGAAAAGAAAAAAAAGCTAATTAATGCATAAAAAGATTTCTGGATTTGTCGTACACTATCGTATAATGCTGTTGTTGTCATCGTTCAGATGACCGCAACCGCAAATCTCGGGGAGCTTGCCATTCCAGATCCTGCGCCTCGCTATATTAGCCGTCAGAGTAAAGTCAGTAAGTTAGTTTTTGTTACTTTCTTCTTCTTCGTTGTTTCATTCAAATTTTTTCCCAAAAAAACAAAATATTTTCCCTTTTTTTTTCTGCTTACCTTATAAGCCAAACTTCTCACCCGGGTATCAACTAGTCAAAAAATTATTTCAATCACCAAATATGATGTATTTGTGCTGTTTTTAAACGGAGAAAGCAACAGCAACAACAATAATATCAACAACAACTTTTGAAATCCAAGGAAAAAAGAAAAAGCAGAAGCTCGAAGCAAAAAAAATGAAAGAACTGATTAACAAAAAAATACCTTCCTAACCGCCCCAACCCAAAAAAAAGCAGCGAGAGCCAAAAAAACACCAAAATCTCAAACAAAGCAATCTGCATACTGCATACAAAGTCTCATCATCGTCATCACTTTCTTCCATTTTTTCCTCATTCCAAATACCCGCCATCACCGTTGCATCGCCGTTCATTGTTTTAATTCTTTTATCTGATCAAAAAAACAAAAAAAATTACCCAAATTTTATTTGCATAAATTAAAAAATTTGTCTTCAAACTGCAGAACAAACCAAATAAGACTATGTTCTTACCGCTCAAAAATAGCTTTTAAAGTGGTTATATCCCCGGCAAGAAAAAAAACTGAAAACAAAAAATTGACTCTCCCTCTCCAATAGTGTTCTTGTGATAATTTTAAACTTCTTGTTTTCCTTTTTCTCCTTGTTCATCTCTTCCTCTTACTTCTCCAAAAAAAATTATTATACCACTTTAAAAAATATGTCCCGTTTCTTCTGCCCAATTTTTTTTCGTCCTTTTTCAAGAACAACAAAATTTGATTTTTATATTTGTTGTCTGCGGCCAAAACTTTTTAGCTGTCGAAAAAAATTAAAAAACATACTGTCCTAGTTTCCTTTTTACCACAGTTTTGTGCTTGTTTACTTAATTTCCCAGCCTGTTTTGTTTAATAATATACCAGTTAAATCTGCCCATCGACTGTTCAACTTTAATTGAAACCAACAGATGTTTTCCATCATTCTTGTCCACTTTTCCCTTCCCTTCCTTTCCATTCCACTTCTAAAAACTTCCCTTGAAATTATGAACTTTATCGTTAGCCCATATTTCCATTACTTTTAAACTGATTCCAACATTATGCCGTCACCAAAAAATCATACGCAAAAACAAGGACAAAGCCAGATAAACAGACAGATAGAAACACACCCTATTCAACCGTCTATCTTATCAATCAATCCATCCAAGCAAAAAAATGTATCAAAATCAAATTAAAAAAATTTATTGCTTGCGAACAAAAAAAGAAAAATGTATGCATTAGCAAAAAAAATTATATCAAATTTTTTTTTGCAAAAACCTAACTAAGAATACCATAGATTAAGCGAAAAAAGAGAAAAAATAGAAGAAAACTGCATAATTTTCTTCCCCAACAACACCTCTCTATCCTTCTGCATGTCCAAAAAATCGACATTTTCAGTCATCAATTTCTCCTGTAACTTTTTATATCCATTACAGCTAAAAGCCTTTGAACAACCCATATTTTTCATAGTTACTGATAACTGGTAAAAAAATTGTGGCAATTATCTGTTAGATGATAACAGTAATGACGTTAATAAAAAAACGTTTATAAAAATGATAATAATTAGTAAAAACAGAAATTTAACGATAACAATAAAAAAAAAATTATTCCACTTTAACCTCATTACTACCGCCCATTTATATTTGTTCCCTTATTGCCATTCTCATTCTTTTCTTTTTTTTTGATGTTTTCAGCTGGACAAATATGCTAGCCGTATTTTCAAATCGACTTAAACTTTTTTTTTCCTGCTACCATATGTACAACCAACAAAAATCGTTCCTATGACGTTCTTAGTGTTTTTCCAGCAGTCATGAAAATAAAAATGTGAAAAATAACAAATAAAAGCCAAAAAAGAGGAAAAAGAGCAGAAATTAACAATGATTTGAGGAAACAACTTTAGTTGGCTTTAATACAGACAGAGGAAAATTGTACAATGAATTTCAGTTGCACAAATCATAATCTATGAAAATTAGTACAAATATCTAAACTGCAGAAATAATGCCCAAATCTTTGTTAATAACTACCCTCCCTCCCTCTCTCTCTCTCTTTGATCCTGTTTTTTGAATTACTCTCTTTTAACTGTCATCACCAATTTCCTCATATTAAAACAACTTCAAGAAATTTTTTTCCCATTCTGTTGCTAATTTCAAGTTTTCCAAAAAATAAATAGAAGAGAGTAAAAGTGATTGAAAATTAGCAAGACCTTTCCCTTTTAATATGCGTTTCATTGAAATCAACTTCTTTCTCTTCCTTGCCGCTTCCCTCCTACCTTTGCCATTTATACTGATCACCTCTCAATCCACCGATAATAGAAAAATCTAAAAACGAGCGGGGAACAATCGCTAAATTTTCTTATTTACGCAAAGGTTAGGGTCCAGTTTTTCTTCATTTTCTCTTCTTTTAATTTTTCAAATGATAAATCCAGTCTTTTGAAAACTGTTTGCCCAGAATGATCACGTAACTAATCATCCTTTGTAACAGCGCTCTTTGTCTATCTGTGCGAATACCAGAAAAAACAGAAATTTAATCACTTCCACCCTCATTATCCAACAGACTAATAAAAATGCATCAAAAGCCACCATCAACTGAATTACCATCGGCTAAACAGTATCGCTTCCTCACTGCTGTACCACAGTCAACTACTAGCACTTCCATCCCCTCTCCTTCTTCCTTTGCTCCTGTCCTCCAATGCCTCTCTCAGTGTGATTTAACCAGAAAAAACTAGTGTCATCTGCCTGTACATCTTAGTGCTTTCTTTTTAAATATTTTTAAAAAACTACTAATATAAGAATTCAAAATAAAAATTCAAATGAAATAAAGAAAACTGAATCCCTTCATCTCAGCTACAGCGCTTGACAATCACAGATCTGATTACCAGTCTACTTTATGAAATCATTTCTTGCTGCCTAATCTTGAATGATTTACCAACAAATATCCCAACCGTTTCATATTTACAACGGCTGCTGTTGTACATTGCACTGTGGTCGAGAAAAAAGCCTTGTTCAACAATAAGACAAAAATTACTAGTTTAGAAAAAAACAATTCAATTTTTCTAAACTATCCAGCCCATCAAAAAATAAAAAAAGAAAAATTTTAACATTTACATCACTAAACAAAAAACCACAAAAAATGGTAATATACATTGAAATAAAAATAAAAATAACCCAATATTTCTACTCCAAAAGGAAATAATTTAACCCTCCCCGCTGCACCCTTATCCTTCTGTCTGATCTTCTCGCCAATTATTGATGACGATTACTATGAGGATGATGATGTTGATGATGAAGATACTGTTGCTGTTTATTCAAAAGATACTTTATCGTTATCTCGCTTCCCTAGTTTAAAAAGAAATTCGTCAGCATTTTTTGGTGCATGATCTGTTCTGCTGAAAAAACGCTTTCAAAATCCAGTAGCAACAGATTCTCTTTGCCTTCTTCCCGATGACTTCGAACAACAACCTTCCTCTTTAAAACTGCTTATGCAAGTATCTATAGTTATTGGTCAAATTCGTAATTCTACATACCTGAATGAATGCAGCAGTCAGAATTGAAAAAATAACGGTAAATATTGTTAATGCAGCAAAGTAGCTGGCGAGATCAGTCCATGCCCAGAAATGAGATAATATTTGAGAACCTGTAAAAAAACACCATATATTTAGCACCAGATAGCTTCTATTTTTAATGGCAATTTTTTTTATTATAATCCAGTTATAAATACAAAAAAACTGATCTTTCACTAGCTACAGTATCTGTGTGAAAAACCGCTGAAATTATTTTTAGTGACTCCTAATATATAACGAAACACAATCTAATGCAATAAAAACAGATAGAAAAAAAATAAAGAAGACGTCGTCTTTAGAAGCAAAAGTCATAAATTCAGAGACTATTACTTATGATAACATATCATAGCTCTCGGAATCAACTGTTCGTCAACAGTCACCAACCCTACCACTGCTACTTTTACTGTTGATATTTTAATGCATTTTAGAGCAACAATAATTCCACAGAAAAGCAAAAAATAAGAAAGTGATAAAAAAAATGACAGTTACAGTCCGCAGACTGATACACACAAAAAAGTTAATAAAAAGTTTTGTTTCTTCAGTAAACACTCTAAAAGCTTATTTCTCTACTTTCCTCCTTCTTCCCCCTTTTTTATCCGGGAAAATTAAGCCCAACTATTCAGGACAGGAAAAAACCAACGTAAAAAAGTTCAAATTTCAAAAAAAAGCTTTGCAGAGCTCTCCGTCTTTCTTTTCATTTTTTTAAAAATTATTTCCCTATTACCTTCAAAAAAAAGAGCAGTCACATAATATTTTTTTATTGATCATATCATTCATAAAAACTGTTGAACAACAACGAAAAAAAGCAAAAAATTTTTTTCTAGTAACTCTGACACCGTTTAATGTTTTTTTCGCAACCTTTTTCTTCTCTTTATTTCCTACTCTTTTTTTAAGAGCAAAACCACAAATTAGATGCAAAAGAGAAAGATGAAGAATAAAACGCGAAATGTTAAAGCTTTGAAATATTTATTTCAAAAAAGCGCCTCTCCCTCTGCTGCCCTCCGCATCTCAGCACATACCGTAGGATGCAGCTGCTGCTAGGTGATGATGACGACGACAACCACAACAACAACTGCAACCACGACAACGACAAGGACTAAGAAGACGATAATAAGGATGATGGCCCTGATAGAAAGAAACAAGGCGGTATAAGGATTGCAAACAAAGGTAGTGTTGAAGATATTCTGGGCTCACAGGAGCCAAGGGAAGCGGGGTGGAGTGCAAAGGGAAGGCCCAGGACCACGAGGCCGCAGGAGGATGGCGGAGAACCGAGAAGCTTAGCCGCTCAGAAAGCAAGAGGCCAATCGTGCATTAGGCGCAGATTTTCGAACTATTAGGTGTACAACACCACCGCAACGGCTTTTGGCCGTCTCCGAAAAACGAACACAATTGCTTCTATTTTGACGTATCTTCGTGATAATTTTTTAAAAACCTTCCCTAAGCGTGCAACGACTATTATTGGCTGATCATAGCCGTCTGACCAGTCAAACTCTGGAATGATGAGCAGTCGACAACTACTATTTCAAGAATCAACAATTCCAGGCAACCTCACCTAAGTTCATCATCGTTGTTGTCGCTGTTATTTATCTTACTGTTGTTGTACTTGTCTTCGTCGTCATCATTATATTCTTAACGCTGCTGAAGCAAATCCACAATTTTTTCAAACACTTTGCTTCCCATAATTTGAATGTTTCTTGTATCTTTCAGCTTCACACACTTTTTTTTGTTTATCAAATAAACACCTCCAAATGCTATTTTCAGATATAACCTCATTACAAACTGATTTACCAAACTAAACATACATTTTATCTGCAAACTTATTCTCACTACACTCCCTTATGAAAGCGTTTTCAAATGGAAACAAATTTAACCGACGAACCCCAGATTCAAGTGAGTCCTATTTTTTATTCTTCAACTTCATCTTTCCTCGTCGCTGTTGTTGTCGTTGTTTCAAAAGACAACTTCATTTACCTTCCTTCCCGCCTCTTGGTTCCTTTTTTTTTTTTTGAAATTCAATTGATTTTTCCAACACTAAAAAACCATCAGTAGTGAACGTCGTTTTCTTCAAAGCCGAAACAACAGTAGTCTAATTTTGTCACTTCAACTTCCCAAACCATATGGGTTTTCATCCGTACGTTTTCCTTCTTTCCTCTTCCTACCACACCCTTCTACTCATTCTTTTGCCTTATATAATCATTTTTGAAAAATAATGAAAAATTGAGACAAAAACTCCATCATTTTTCCCATCATCGCTAATTTGTTAAAAAATTTCCCTATTCTTCTTTCGCCTCTTTCCTTTTCTTTAACATTTATTTTCATATTTTTTTATTATTTATTATTATTTATTATTTTTTATTTCTTAATATACGCAATTACTGCAGTTTTTGAGAAGCGTGTTTGACAACGTTCCCATCTTTTCCCCTCTGTTCCCCTGTAAGAACATAGGTATCATTCTCCCCCCCAGCTTCGCAGAAAAAAACAAAATCATGCTAGAGCAGTAAGCACAAAGCAGGAAAATAAACTAGAATCAAACACTGAATAAGTAGAAAATAAGAAGTAATTTTTACAAGCTAGGATAAAAACATTTCCTTGTTCTCACGCCACAACATAAAAAAAAACTAATGAAACAAATTAAAACAAATGATGAGTAAAAACAGAAGAACAATGAGTAAATAGCAGCCAGTAAAATCAGCAGTACCGTACTCGTTTCTTCGCCTCATTCCTCTTGATCCTACCAATTCTTCAAGCCCACACAAGTAAAGCATAAAAGCACAAATTGTTCGCTAAAATGTTACTCTATGACTTTAGATACAAAGATAGATATGCCAATTATATTGCGGTTTCTCCAGAAATTTGCTCTAATTTATAATCGTTGCTACTCCACTGATTCATTCCGTCTGCAAGAAGCGAAAAAAAAAACAAAAACAAAAATAAGAAAAGACAGGAAGAAAATCTTTTTTTGTCCTCTTTTTTCTTCTACTGTTGAAATCAATGAAATTGGCTATAAATTGATAACAACAATGAAAACAAATCCTTTCTTTCTCTTCACTCTTTTTTTCCAAAAATTTTTTTATTTTACCTGTCCACCAGTTATCATCATCAATTTTTACCATATCTTCAGGCTTTCGCTTACTCTCCAACACTTTCTCTTTGGCCATCTGGTTATCATCTTTTTTAGCGCAAAACGAAAAGTATACATACATAAATAAAGATAAAAATGAAAAATGAAAAAAAATTCTAAGCCTCAAAAAATTTTAGTGGTAGGCTTAAGGATGAGTTATCAAAACCACTCTTCTTTTAATGCCTTCTTTCTTGTTTTTTTTCCAAGTAATAAGATTAGATAGCGGTAAAAATAATAGTGAACCTCACTGATTCTTGTATCCATAATATCATAAAAAATCTTCTAAACTCAGAAGTCTAAATATCAGTATTATAACTTTACTAATTCAACTGTATAGTTCAATAAAATTTTCATTTGTTTCCTCAATTCTTATCTTAGTGTATATATTTTGCAACCCTGCTATTATATTGTCTTATTTTCAAGCAGTTGCGAGATAGACAAAAACGTTATCAGTATTTTGTTTGAAATTTATCGTGTACAACAAAAGAAAAAAA